AAACAAAAAACACCACAGCATCTGGGGGGTGGTGGAGGCAGTAGCAGCGGTGTCACACGCCTTTAATCCGGCCCTTGGGAAACAGAGGCAGGCAGATCTCTGAGTCTGAGGTCACCCCAGTCTACACACTGAGTTCCGGTACAGCCATGGCTACACAGAGAAACCCTATCTTGAAAAAATAAAAACAAAGCAAAACCAAATAAATAAATAAAATAAAAATCAAAGCAGGAGACAGGCATAGTGACACACACAGAATCTGTTCCCAGCACTCATGTTGGGTAGTTCATATGGACCTGTAAATCCAGTTCCAGGGGATCTGATGGCGCCTTCTTCATGCCCCCCCCCCACTACACTTGTGGTGCACATACATACATACAGGTAAATATTCATACACTTAAAAATGAATAAATCTTATTTTTAAAGATTAACCATATTTCTAATATTTTAAGGTTTTACTTGAAGATGTATTCATGTGTCCTTAACGTAATTGGCAAGTGTTTGGTTTTGGTACTACACCTGGGCCTCATGCATGCTGCACAAGCCCCCTAGAGCTGAGCCACACATCCTCTGCCATAGGGTAAATTTTACAAGTAAGGAAATTGAAACATTCTGGTTCCGGGTACAACAAGTTCTAAAATTTTTCCTTGGGGAGGAGTTTGCATCTCTGTCTCATTGAGGTTAGGTTTGGCCATTTGCCTGTTCCAGCCATGTGAGTAGAGGCCATGCACATCCCTCAGAGAAGAAATCTGGATAGATGGGTGAGACTTACCATACTCTTCCTTCTGCTACAAAACCAAAGATGTTTTGTCTAGAGCCTGTTCTTACCCTATTGGGGTGGATGGGGGTGGGAGTGGGACTCTTCTTTGACCTTTGAAGGCCATGCAATGTGAGAAACAGATTATTGCTGTCATAGCCCTGGGGACTGGGGAACCCTTAGCACACCCTGACCTATCTTTGCTAACCTAGGGATAAGATGAGCAAGCCAGCAGTTACTTGGAACAGAGTTCAAGGGGACAAGAGGATAAGGGCCACGGAGTCTTGTTTGTCACTCATAGTGGAGGCAAAGTGGAATGAAGAGCTGCATAGACAAATTTGACTAGTTTCAATATGTCCCAAGTCCTCTTACCTCAGTTGTCTGCTGACCAAAGAAAGCAATGCAGTGGGCTTGGGAAGTGCCTCAGCAGGCAAGTGGTGGCCTAGCATGAATGGAGCCCTGGGTTTGGTTCCTGGCACGTATGATTTGGATGCGCATACTTGTAATCTCTGACCAGGCTAGGAGGATCAGAAGTTAGAGGCCATCCTTGGCTAGAGAACAAGATCAAGGCCAGGTTAGAACACATGAGACCCTCTCTGATGGGAAGAAAAAAAAAAAAAGCAACTTGGGAATGCAGCTCTCTGTCCTTTATCAGACGGCTTTGGCCAAGAGCTAACATTCCTTTCTAGAGAAGTACTGGGAATTTACTGAGAAAACACACTCAGCCCAGATTGTCTGGGTCTAAAAGCATAAAAGCATGTGGGTTTCCACCTCTCCTAAGCACTCTCAGCTAGCTGTCTTAGTAGCGAATCCAAGGGGGCTCCTACACTGGCCAAGGCCATCCATTCTCAGAGAAAGTTATAGTCAAGAAAGCAGAGTAAAAATACTTGATGTTAACAGCCTAACTCAAGTCAGATAAAATATCACATCTGCATATGAGGAATGACTCAAGATGACAGGCTTGGTTCTCTTTTATTTTAATAAATAATAAGAAAGAAAAGAGCTTCATTTCTTGGCTAATAGGCCATGGGGTACAATGAAGAGTTCTCTGGTCAGGCCATGATGTGCACAGGGGGGGCACTGGATATTGAATCAATCATCTGGCTTTCAGTTGGACTGGGAGAAATCGAGAGGTTATTTTTTACCAATTTCTCAGAGCCCCAGTTCCCTCATTTTAAGGGTGATTTTGAGAACACTGGATCCAATGGCTAGTAATCTCACCAATTGGAGGCTGAGGCAGAAGGATCACTATGAGTTCAAGGTCAGCTTGTGCTACATAGTGAATTTTAGGCCAGCCTATGCTGTCAAGTATGAGTCTGTCTCCCCAAAATTCATTTTGAAGCCAAGCATGAAACAAGATCACCATGAATTCAAGGGCAGCCTAGGCTACATGGCAAGGCCCTGTCTCAAATTAAAATGGAAAGAAAGGAAGGAAGGAAGGAAGGAAGGAAGGAAGGAAGGAAGGAAGGAAGGGAAAAAGGAAGGAAGGAAAGAAAACAAGCAAGAGAAAAGAATACATACTCACCCTGTAGAACTGGTGTAAGAACAAAAAGTTCAATACTCTGCACACAAGGGGTTGGCCCTCATAATGTCGCAATGATTACAGAAATGAATGGGTTAACAGAAATGTGTACAGGTTTGCTACTAGGTTCCCGAGCCAGCTACTAAGGTTAAAAGTCCTTTGTCTCTTTGTTGATTTTTTTTTTTTTTTTTTTTTTTTTTTTTTTTTTGGTTTTTTGAGACAGGATTTCTCTGTGGCTTTGGAGGCTGTCCTGGAACTAGCTCTTGTAGACCAGGCTGTTCTTGAACTCATAGAGATCCGCCTGTCTCTGCCTCCTGAGTGCTGGGATTAAAGGCGTGTGCCACCAACGCCCACCTCTTTCTTGACCTTACAGAAGGAAGACATTGTGGAAATGTACCCTCAGCCCTGAGATGTCCCAAGCCATTTCCACTGGGCAGTCTTCCAGTAGCTTATCAATAGCTTATCAGTAGCTTGGCCATTTACCCAGAAGGCCAATCCATACTCCTTGTGCCTTCAGTGGCTGGAATAACACAACACAAACCTCCCTCTAGTTTGAAGACCTTCTCAGCCTCAACTCAAAGGTCTGTCTCAGAGAGGACCATGATCCCAGGATCCCATTGCTTCCTACAATATATGTTTTCAGGGGCTAGTTCCTGTTTTTCTCCAAATCACCAGTTATGAACGGCTCAAGAAGCCATCCATGAGAATTCCTTTCTGGTCATATTTCAGCAAATCAACTGAAAGCAAGTTATGGCATGACTGGATTCTACTGGACTTCGATGCTGGCCTTTGAAAGCTGCTGGTCAACAAAGAGCAAATCCTTCTAAAAGCAGGAGGACCATGTGGTCATCTCCTTCATATGAATTTTTACTTCCAAGGGGTAGTTGATCATCTTGTCTCTGGCATCTCTTGCTGCTTCTATGAAACTTGATTCATTTAGGCCTCTATTTCATTTCTGTAGTTGAGTGAATACTAATTTCCACCCAACATCTGTCTAGCTTTCCGCTAGGGATGTATTCTCTGCTGCCTCCGCACCCATGCCCCTGACTCAGTCCAAATACCAGGGGAAGCTGTTCCATATTTGTTGTGGAATATTATTTTAAGATGTGTTACTCTCGTTTATGCTGTGGAACATTTGTTTAATGATGCAAAGATGTGCTGCATTCTTTTATGTTGCATTTGCTTACCTCTGTGAAGCTGTGTTACTTTGCCTGTCTAAAACACCTGATTGGTCTAATAAAGAAATGAACAAATAATAGCTGGGAAGAGAGAGAGATTGACAGGGCTGGCAGGCAGAGAGGAGAAATAGGAGGAGAAATCTGGGATCGAAGATTAAGGAGCTAGAAAAGAACGGTCAGTACCCTGCCATACAGCCAGACACTGAATAAGAAGGGAAGAAAAGAGATACAGAAAGAAAGAAAGAAAGAAAGAAAGAAAGAAAGAAAGAAAGAAAGAAGGAAAGAAAGGTAAAGGCCCAGAAACAAAAGGTAGATGAGATAATTTAAGAAAGGCTAGCAAGAAACAAGCCAAGCTAAGGCCCAGGATTTCTAAGAAAGAATAAGCCTCTGTGTATGATTTATTTGGGAGCTGGGTGGTGGCCCCACTAAAAGGACCAAAGAGTGAAAAACAACCAACTACACATATTCTACTCAGAGGACAGCATAGACCTTGGACGGCACAGTCAGAAAGTTCTACTCCCTTGTTTGTAACCACCACTCACCGCTGAGAAAAGCAGTAGAAATGGAAAATTGCTATGGTAATTTTTGTTGAGACCACTAAGGAAAATGGACACACACATAAAAATGAGCATAACTCTTAAAGAACTTAGCAGGGAATTGTTAAGGGCCAATCATATAGCAAGATGAAGACATCAGCATGGTGTAGAGAAGGGCAGAGATAAGAAGAGAGGATTAGCTAGTGCTCTTATTTGAGTCCCTGCATTAGACCACACCTGATTTATACCTGATATTCCCAGCTACATATGCCAGTGCACTTTACATCTGCTTGGGGCAGTATGCATTGATTCTTTGTCTGAGAACAAATAGTCGGCACTAATACATCTGTTCCCTTAGCTTTCTCTAGAATTCCCACTGTGAATGTGGTCTGAGTTTGGTTGAACTCAGCTTCCCTCCAACTCTGGTCTTTTACTATTTATGCTCTTTCTTTAAGGCTATTTGTTGGAAATTCAACTCTGACATCCAGAACCTCTAAGTTCCCCTAGGCACAAAACTCTGGTTGTCTTCACGCATCTTCATCTAGGAGCCATGTAGCATAGGGAATCTGTTCACTGTCTCTTAGCTTCCAGCTCAAGCCAATCTGGGCACCAAGAGAGTGTCACCACCACTGACCACTCAACAGACTTGGTCATCAGAGTTCTACATTCTGAGCCACACAGGCAAGGCCTAGGGGGACTGTACACAACACACCTATTTTCTTCAAGGTCAAGCCAACCAGATGCATCTGTCATATGGTTTCAATCAGCCTAGATAGCCTGACTTCTAGCCAAGGGGATTATTATGGACAAGCTTCATGCACAGATTCAGTCTCTCAAATGGATGCTGAAGACAGTCAGCTCAGATGTTCCATAAAGCGAATAAGGACATAGAGCTTCACTCCATTCTCCTCAGCCCGCCTCATCTCTATTCATCATAAAGAGCATATATCCATTGTATTCTTCTAGGACCCAGATTAGGTTGGTGGGGCCATCACAGGAAGGGATGAGAATCACAACTTTCTAATAAACTGGGCAACCAGATCCATAATTCTTGAGGAGCAAGGGAAGCTCAAGAAGCCAAAGTCGAGAGTGTTAAGCACTCCATGGAAACCATCCTCCATATGATGCCACGTCACAGGCACCCCCAGATCTTCCAACCTCTTCTTGTATAAGAGCGAATGGTCCCGGAGAAGGTCATACTCACAGCTCACAATGCAGGTTTCCGGGAGCTGAGACACTATATCATCTTCCGCAATGAGGGGTGAGCATATTGAGTTCAGTGCTAAAGTTATTTCCCGGTAAGCATCTTCATTCACAGGTCCTGGGGGTATGCATTGGTAGCCTCGCTTCTTAAACCTCTCTGGGATGTTTTCTGAGCCCAACCACTTTCTGTACTTCTCCCAGACTTCAGGAGGCAAATGGGTACCACTCTTGATAACACTTTTCCAGGAAGTACTCACATCTAGGTGACAACAGCAACAGTAAAAGGCCAGATTCCAAGAGAGCAGTGGGATATTGGCGTTTTGTTGATAGGAAGGGCCCCGAAAATCTATGCTCTGTAGTGAGGAGTAGATCAGAATTTGAGCCCGGATCTGGGGAAAATCTGCTTTGTTCCGAAATAGTTGACAAATCACAGTGGCTGCATTCCCTCCTACACTGTCGCCACAGACCACGACCCGAGATGGATCCACTCCATACACATGCAACGATTTCAGAAACTGGGCAGTAGCTGCCACACAGTCATTTTTCATCGCTGGGTACTTGTACTTGGGAGACTTTCTGTATCTAAAGAGGAATTAAGGACCGGAGATTATGCTCAATGTTTAGCCAAACCCAAAGGACCCTTCTCTAATATTTCAAATCCCTCTTTGAAGCCAAAAGAGGAGACAAGCAAGGACCCAAACACACACTAGATATATATAGGTGGCCTTCCCACCTGCCACTTAGGCTCAGAGGGGGCAATTGCCATGCTACTTGAGAATGGGTATGATATTGTTCAAATGTTCCAATGGTCATGCAGGGTACTGCTGGCTTTGAGCAGAGGAGATGTTATCTGTCTGCCATGGGCAGGACTGTTAGACATAATGATCTCTTCCAATCAAAAGCAAAGTGTCATGCCCATACCCACCACCCTCCAAAAGATAGGGTTAAATGATGCCTTTCTTTCATGAACCAAGGAAGGGGGTCCAGTCCACTGTCCCTCTCTCCTCCATTCCTTGCTTCTCCTTCCTAGGTCCTCACAGCCCAGCTCTCCCCCATCCTCCTCTCCAATTCCATCTGCTTCAGATTTAAACCTCAGACCCTGTCACTACAAATCAGGGCTGTCTGCTTTCGTGCTCCCATAGGTCCTCACAGCCCAGCTCTCCCCCATCCTCCTCTTCGATTCCATCTGCTTCAGATTTAGACCTCAGACCCTGTCACTACAAATCAGGGCTGTCTGCTTTCGTGCTCCCATTATCCCCTTTCTTACCCAACTGCCAGGACAACAGAGCCACAGTCCTTGGACAGACGCAAGCATACGTTGTGGTGGGTCCCTGGAAAATGAAATCAAATGTGTTAGGGCATTTTCCTTCCTCCAGCCTTTGTGGCCATTGTCCTCTTGTAAACAGAGTGCCCAAGTGAGCTGAGCAGGGCATAAAATAACCTATGGCAGTTGACTAAATATCCTCCCAACTTCTCACTCTTTTGCTTCTATGAGCTGCAAGGACAATGTTCTCAAAGATGCCCCTGACCCGATGTGCCACACCACTTATCACAAACATCCAAAAGTGAATCCATTACAGTGGCTTGGTCTGTGAGAGAGGCATTCTCTTATCAATTTAGGAAGAGGTCAGACCATTGCAAACTATACCACCAAAGTGATCTGTGTCTACTACTTGTCCTGGGTTTTCTTGGTTGTAACAGTAGACTGTCTCCCAAGGAGAATGACCATCCTTTTCAAAGATTTGTTTTACTTTTGTTTATGTGTATGTGTTACACACACACACACACACACACACACACACACACACACACACACACACACACGTCAAGGTATCCATGGAGACCTGAAGGAGGAGCTAGATCCCTTGGAGTTAGAGTTACAGGCAGTTGTATGATGCCCTAGATGGGTGCTAAGAACCAAACTTGGGTCCTCTGGGAGAACAGAAAGTTCTCTTAACTACTAAGCCATCTGTCCATCTCCCACAAAATGACCATGTTTTTTTTTTTTTTTTTTTTTTTTTTTTTTTTCCCATTTAGCTGGGTGACAGGAGGCTTGAAGAAGCCAGAAGAAAGGCCTTGTTTCTTTCTTTTTTCTTTTTTTGTTGGTTTTTTGAGACAGGGTTTTTCTGTAGGTTTGGAGACTGTCTTTGCCTCTGCCTCCCGAATGCTGGGATTAAAGGCCACCACCAAGGCCTGGCAAGAAAGGCTTTCTTTCTGAGGCTCCCCAGGACCGTTCCACCACCATGGAAGAAGATGATGCCAGTCCTAAGGGTGGAGGAGGATTCCTTGGGCTGATACAGTTTCACAGGGATTGTCCCAAAGCGAAGATCTGTGACCACAATATCAGGATCTCTCTTGAGTGGCTTCAGATCATGCAGAAAACTGGCAAACTGGGTTGCATAACACAGTCCCAGCTTCTCAAAAATCATGCCCTGTCAGAGAGAGCAGAGGCAATAGGTTGAGAAGGGTTACACATCAGTCACTTTGCATGCAGCCTGGAGTCTGCCAGACACATCTACCCTCCCCAGGTGCCAAAAAGGATCTTGGGAAATATTGATCAGACTGGACCACAGGCCTCCTGCATGTCCTCCTCTATCAGCATGAGGCACCTGCAGTTAAAGCCACACCCACCCAGACCCATGGGGATCAATCACCAGGCCCACTCCTTTCAACCAGACTCTTCCTGGACACTTTGGGTGCCAGACATGACAACCTAGGCTTCTGACCAACACTTGAGATTCCCCTTTGAAGACTCCTGTTCTACATGGGGTCTGGACATGGTCTTCTCTCCAGGGAAGATAACTGGGGTCTCCCAAATATTTATTACTATGGATGTGATATTTCTGATGTAAGAGAGGGGTATTTCTTTCTTTCTTTCTTTCTTTCTTTCTTTCTTTCTTTCTTTCTTTCTTCCTTTCTTCCTTCCTTCCTTCCTTCCTTCCTTCCTTCCTTCCTTCCTTCCTTCCTTTCTTTCAGATTCATTTATTATGTACACAGGGTTCTGCCTGCATGTGTCCCTGCAGACCAGAAGAGGGCACCAGATCTCATTACAGATGGTTGTGAGCCACCATGTGGTTGCTGGGAATTGAACTCAGGACATCTGGAAGAGCAGCCAGTGCTCTTAATGGCTGAGCCATCTCTCCAGCCCCCAAGGGGTATTTTCTTATCTTCCCATGGCAACTACTAAAATATTTTTGGAAAATGTGATATGAAAGGTTTTTCTCTTCAGGAAAGTTAAGAATGAGGGGAAAGCTGGGTGGTGGTGGCACACGCCTGTAAACCCAGCACTTGGAAGGCAGAGGCAGGCAGATCTCTGTGAGTTCGAGATGAAAAAATTATTTTCAAATAAATAAATAGATAAATAAATAAATAAATAAATAAATAAATAAATAAATAAATAAATAAATAAATAAATAAATAAATAAATAAATAAATAAATAAATAAATAAATAAATAAATAAATAAATAAATAAATAAATAAATAAATAAATGAGTGGGCACTCCCTGGGTCTCTCCGGTAGTTTCTAGTCCTAAATCATAACCATGCGGGCTGTGAGTAAATCCTGTGGACTCACCTCAGAACATTTTGTTTTCTTTTTGGTATGTGTATAGTGTGCTGGGTGGATATAGAGTGTGCGCTCACTAATGCAGATGTACGCACCTCTGTGTGTGGGTGAGGAGGCCAGAGGTCAACCCCAGGTGCCTTTCCTCGATTGCATCATGTTTGTTTATTACTTGTGCGCATTTATTTGTCTATGGCTATGTGTGGGATCCCAACAGCCCCAGCACTGGGGCAGAGATCAGAGGACAACCTGGTGGAGTCTGTTCTGTACTTCTACCATGTGGGACCTAGGGATAGAACTCAGGTCAGGAAAACTGGTAACAACTGACATTAGCCACCGCACTGTCTCACAGACCTGTGAGACAGGCTCCCTTACTGAACCTAAAATCTATCTCATCAGTTGAACTAGGTTGGCTGGCCAATGAGCTTCATGGGTTCACTCATCTCTGTGCTTCTCTCCGAGCCCCCAGGCACAGACTCAAGCCGTCATGCTCAGCTCTACCATCGGCGTCTCACGATCTGAACTGAAGTTCTCATGCGTGAGCAGTAGGCACTTTACCATCTCTCCAGACCACGGAACATTCTTTAAGACATACAATAAATATGTGAAATTTATCCAGGAAGGCAGTTTCTCATGCGTACAGCTCTCAGACAAATAAATGGGCACACAGTGATGACATACACCCTTGAACAAAACAGCAAGCCAAGGCTACCATCTGATAACACCCTGGTCTCAAATGGAGAAGACCACCACTTTCCTTGTCTGGAGCACAGTCAAAGAAAGCATTTGTGATTCCTCTTAGGAGAGAGCCACAGCTCTGCACTGGGGATTGTGTTCTGCTCACCTCCAGGCTTCCCCACCCGAAATGGCAGGAGACATTACAATTGGAGGTTGGGAGTGAAAATAGGCTAATTTGTATCCTATTATCAAAGCTAAGAGCCTCTTGCATCTGACCCTTGAGTAAGCCAGCAGGCATCTCCCCTCTGCCTTGTTATGCTTTCCTCCTGGTCCTGGCCCCTGTATGAAGCTATTTGTACCTAGAGTTCTATTGAGCTTGTTAACAAGGGGCCAGCCCCTGCCCTCTGCTACCAGGGACTGCAAGCTCCTGGAGGCAGACTCTGCCTCTTTTTTTCCCCCCTTACCTATCCCTGAGCTTAGATCCTGGGCCAGGACACAGAGGTTGCATAACACAGCATTACAGAAAGAATCAACAGTAAGAGTGTGATGTGTAAGGAGGGCTTATGCTGGCCCCGGGTGTTGCAATATGCCCTCTGGATAGCTCAACTCTGGAATCCTCGAGAAATGACAGGAGTAGGGGCTATTAAGATTCCCTGTTTAGCACACAGGAAAGCTGCATCATGGTAACTAGGAACCTGACTGTAAACAAAATAAAAAAATAAAATAAAAATGTCAGAGGGAAAAGTATGGATTCTAGTCTGGCCATTTGCAAAATCAGGCCTGGACACGATGATCTCCATCATTTTCCTAAAAGCAAGCTCTGTCTCCCTCCCTTTCCCTTCCCCTTGTCTCTCTTCTCTCTCTCTCTCTCTCTCTCTCTCTCTCTCTCTCTCTGTGACTGAGTAAAAATTCTATTGCATCTGGACATGGTGATTCACACCTTTAATCCCAAGACAAGACAGACACAGGCAGATGTCTCTTGAATCAAGCCTGGTTTATATAGTGAGACCTTGTCTCATTTTTTTTTCCATTGTGTATGTCCTATTGTGTGTTTTCTTCATCCATTCATCTGTTGATGGATGCTAAGGGTGGTCTCATTTCCTGGCTATTGTGAATGTAGCAGGAGGGAACATGGATGTACAAATGTCTGTGTGGTAGGATAGAGAACCTTGGGGTGTTATAGTGAGGCGACCCAGGTTCAGAAAGACAAAAGTCACATGCTCTTTCATAACTGGATTCTGCCTGACCATTTTTATGTATGTGTGTAAAAGTGGTTGTGAGTGTTCCGTGAGCTGTGAAGTAGGAATGGGGCCATGAGAAGGGGTGGGGTTTAAGTGGGAGACAGAGCAAGAGGACCTATGGGATATGAAGGTAGAGAGCAGGGTTACTGGAGGTGGAGAGGTAGCAAAGACAACAAATTAGGGGGAGGAGCTCCGAAAACAAATTTTGCTTGAAAATGCTGTTATGAAACCCAATACTTTGTATAACAATTGTTTTAAAAGATAGGTATTTTTGTCTATTTTTTTTTTTTTTTTTGGGACAGGGTTTCTTTTTTTACCCCTGGTGTCCCATAGCTTCACAACCATCTGTCACTCTAGTCCCAGGGGATCCTGTGCCCTCTTCTTGCCTCTGCAGGTACTACACACAAGGTACATGACATTTGCGTAAGCAAAACGCCCATACCCATAATAACCCCCCCAAATTAATGTTTGAAAAGAGGTGTGTTCTATGAATGCTCATGTCTTGAGTTAATTTAGAAATTTGCTTTCTAGTTTCTTAATTTTGTTGTTTGCTGACTCTAGCTAGCAGCACCAAATTCATTACTATCTTCAGAGCTTTCCTAAGTCCCGAGGACTAACAAGGAATGACATTGGTTTTTCCTCTGTGCTAACTGGGTACCGGCGTTTGCACATTCTAAGTTCCTCAGAGGCCTATGTGGAAAAGGCCCCAGGGTGATGCTATTTCTAGGTGGTAGAACTTTTGGGAAGAAGGCTTAGGGTGAGGTCCTTAGGTCACTGGGGATATAGGCTGCTGGAGGGAGGTAGAGAATAAGTTCAAGGTCTAAGCTGGGCATTCATGACACACTGGAGAGGCAGAGGCAGGTGGATCTTTGAGTTGAAGGCCAACCTGGTCTACAGAGTGAGTTCCACGACAGCCAAGGCCACACAGAGTAACCCAGTCTCCAAAAACAAAAACAAAAACAAAAACAAAAACATCCCTCACCCCCAGAAAAGAGAACAAAGTCTAGTGACACATGCACTCTGTAATACACAGCTGAAGCCCATTCCTTAGTACGGTAAACACAAGCTGAATAAAAAACAAAAACATCCCCCACCCCCAGAAAAGAGAACAAAGTCTAGTGACACATGCACTCCGTAATACACAGCTGAAGCCCATTCCTTAGTACGGTAAACACAAGCTGAATTTGAAGGAAAAGGCACCATGGAACCTCAACCCTTCTTCCTCTTTTGTTCTTTGGGACGTGAGCAGTTTTCCTCAGCCATATGCTGCTCCTACTGGGATATGCTCCTCTTCCACAGACCCAACACAATGAAGCCAATGTGACAAGTTACAGCCTCAAAAATCATAAGCCTAAACAACCCTTTTTGCTTTGTAAACCCATTGTCTTGGGTATTTTGTAATGGGAAGTAGACGGGGGCACCGAGAAAGCAAACATCCTTTGAACTGTGTGCAGCATTGAAGCATTGAAGTATCTGGTTTTTCCTCACTTCTCTCCTCAACCCTCAGGCCAAGGAGACAAGCGAAACACGAACTCACCCATGTCAATGTCAGATGTAAAAGGCAACTGAGGATTCGTAGCCTCACAGGGTGAGTGATGCCTTTGGGGATGTGTTCAGTCCAAAAGTGTATACAGATCACCCACAGCAGAACTCCCAGCGAGAATGAAGCCACAGCAGCTACGAGGAGTGTCAGGGCCAGAGGCACCATGCTGCTCCTACCTCAGAGGAGGCCAAGCGTCATCTGTGCCTGCCACAGCCCATGGAAGACAGTGCAGGCCAGCGGGCCTCTTATATATCACCAGCTTCTCTCTCTCTCTCTCTCCGCCTCCCTGCTTCCTGTAAACACTGGCCCAGCCCAGACAAGGAGTCACTGGCCAGGGGGAGGTGTGGTTCTAGATCAAGGCCCATGCAGAGGAGAAAGTGGCTCCTATAGATTCATTCAGCTGGAAAGAGATCTCAAGAACTCCCATTTAAATCCTGGCATCGCTACTAGATACGGCATTGGGTAAGCCACAGAGTGACTGTAGTCTTTAGACAATCGCCCTCAGATGTCTTCGCCCACACTCTAATTCTGCTCTTGCCACACTTAATGATTCCTTAACTAGATGAGGAGGCCCCAGGGCCTTTGCACTTGTTTCTCTGTACAGTAACCGTCCCCCATCCCCCCACCCCCACACTAGATGCCAACTGGGCTCTATTCTTCCTGTCCTGCCTGTTGTTTTCAAATGTCTCCTTCTGTCTAGCTGGCTATTTAAAATTGTAATGCTTCACTACCAACAGTTCCTTGGCCCCTTGGCACCACCCTGCTTAATTTTAAATCTGTGACTTTTATTATCACCAAGGATGCCAGTCCCTTGCCTGTAGAGCACACATTTTGAATACAGAAATGTTCATGTTGTTGTCATTAAGATTTATCTATTTTTTATTTTATGTTATGGGTATCTGAACATTATGCCTGAATGGATGTCTGTGCACCATGCCTGTCTGGTGCCCCAGATGCCCTAAGAAGGCACCAGCTCCCATGGAATAGAGTTACAGAGGGTTGTGAGATACCGTGTGGGCGCTGGAAATTGAGCCCAGGTTCTTTTCATGAGCAACCAATGCTCTTAACCACTGAGCCATCTCTTTGGCCCCCGACTTTGTGGTTTTGTGCCTAGAGGCTGGATTAGGGTCTGGTTCTTTGTCAGGGCTGTGTGAAGGTGCACCAAATGGAGGGGTTGACGAACAGGTTTTTTCTCTCCACCGTGAAACAGAGAAGCTTAAGTATGCTTGTTTACTAGGTCAGGTCAGACGATAAGGCAGTTTTCACAGCCTTTCCTAGCAAGGAAGCTCTATATAATCGTATAGATGGGACCACAGGCTCTGCCTCCTGCCTCCCTATGACGGTCGGCTTTAATTGCCAAATGAACACAATTTAAAATCAGCTGGAAAGTAAGTGTCCATGAGTGATTGTCCACATTACATTGGTCTGTGGACAAGTCAATGGGGGGTTGACTTAATTAAATTACTTGATGTGAGGAAGACCCAGGCCACTGTGGGCAGCACAATTCCCTAAGCCAGGGTCCTGAACTGTGTAAGAGCAGAGAAATGGAGATGAGCACAAACAAGCATGCAAGCAGTGGGGCATGCATGCATTAATTTTTCCCTCTGCTCTTGCCCCTGGGTATGATGTGAATGGCTGTTTGAAGTTTCTGCCTTGATTTCCCCACAATGATGGACTGTAACCTGGATTTCTCCCCTAAGTTGCATTTCATGAGGGTATTTCATTATAGCCACAGAAATGAAACTAGAACACTCTCCAACTTGGTGATGGAGCAGAAGCTTCCAAACAAAGGGATCTTGTCTCCCAGGAGACAACAGGACAATGCCTGGAGATACTGTGAGTAACAGATGAGCAGGGTATTAGCATCTCAGAGACAGGTGCCAGAGATGTGCTAAGCATCTCTGTACTCACACTGGCCCCTGCAACACAGAAGTGTCTGGTCTAGCACATCAACACATTTGAGGTTAGAATAACCTGAGCCAGGGTCACTTGGATTGGAATGGTGGGTCTGCTCAATGCCAAGCATTCTAAATAAGAAACAAGTTACTGACAGTTCCTAAATCTTTCCTCAGGGGGTGGTTGAGTGCACCAAAACACATCATCAAATACAAAGCATTAGTATGGGTGTGTCATGCCTCACACTCAACAGATGGCAACGATAGAAATAGTAACCAACACATTTCTTCCGTGTTCTCAAACACATTCATGTCCCTTATGGACCCACAAGAATGCAACACTCTGGCCCCTGCTGTAAGGGGTTGGGAGCCTTGGATGGATCCTGGCCAGTGGGGTGTGAGTGGGGATGTGGGAGCCCCTGCCTGGCCATGGAGGGTCCACATGGTCCTCCAATGCCTGGCTGTAGAGTACCCCCAGAGTCCGTTGCACTCTTTCTCTCTGGAAAGGAAGGGCTCCTGATAGTGAGTTTTATCAGGTCACATCCCTGTGGCCAACTTGGAGGGGAGTAGTGTGGGGTGGGATGGGAAGGTCACTGCCAGGGGCATTTATGAAAGATGTCGTGGGAACAATGTATGAAGCTACAGAGATGCAAGGTTGCTTGTTCTGGCAGCCACCTGTCATGGTGGCTGTTTCAACAACAGCTGGCTTCAGTGGTACTAGATTCTAAATCCAGTTTAGCTATATGCCACTCTGGCAGATTTCTTTCGGATTTTATCCCTTGTGTACATTTTGCCCTAGATTCTACCCAAAGCTAATGGTTGTGATAGTCTGCGAGAAGAGTTGATGTGGGGAAAGACCACAGTGTGTGTTTGTGTGTTGTGTATGTGTGTGTGTGTGTGTGTCTGTTTCTATCTCTCTGTCTGTTGTCTGTCATCCATCTGTTTCTATCTGTCTGTCTGTTTCTACTGTCTGTCTGTTGTCTGTCATCCATCTGTTTCTATCTGTCTGTCTGTTTCTACCTCTCTGTCTGTCTGTCTGTGTCTGTCTGTCTCTCTCTCTCTCCCTCAGTTTATTCATCTATAAAATGAAGCCTGTTTTTTTTTTTTTTTTTTTTTTTTCCTCTGTGGCAAGCCAGGGCCAAATCCTTTGCATATGTTAAGGTGTGAGAGTGAGTTCCCACATGTTCAGGTTTAACTCATTGGTACATAAATCAGGGCTCAGTCACCCTTGACACCGTTTCAGGGCTCTGCTCTTTCTAGTTCACTGGCATTGAGCCAAATATTGGTCTCTTGTGAACTCACCTGTGTTGGCCAGTCTTTTGTCAACTTGAAGCAAACTCGAGTCCTTTGGGAGCGGGACTTTCAACTGAAAAAATGCCACTATTAAGAGTTGCCTGTAGGCAAGTCCGTAGTGCTTTATCCAGAGTAAGGATGGATGCTGGAGGGCCAAGTCCACTGTGGACTGTACCAACCCTGGGAAGGTGGCACTGAGCTGTATAAGAAAGCAAACCGAGGAAGTCAGGAGGATCAGGCAAAAAAGCATAGTCCATGGCTTCTGCTTCAGTTCCTGCATTCATGTTCCTGCCTTGAGTTTCTGGACCAACTTCTCCCAGCGATGGAGTGTAACCTGAGAGTTGTAACCTGGAATAAACCTTTTCCTCCTCAAATTGTTTTTGGGCATAGGTTTTTAGGACAGCAATAGAAACCCCAACTAAGACATCCCCTTTGTGGAACAGCTAAGCATAACATCCCTGGCTCACTCTACAGACCACACACAACGTGGATCTCAGAGAAAAGCTTTAGTGGCCACTTTAGCATGGCGTGGCACAAGACTGGTAGTACCTACATATCTAACCCACCACTTAGAATTCCCTTCTTGTAAGGCTGGAGAGACAGCAGCATTCACAGAATGTCTGCATGCAAGCATGGGACCCTGAGTTTGGATTTCCAACACCCATGTGAAAAGCCAGGGACAGAAGTACACACCTGTTATCCTCAGCATTGGAGTGGCATAGCCAGGAGGACTCCTGAGACTTGCTGGTTTGCTAATCTGCCTGAAGAGGTGAAAGATCAGGTTCAACGAAAAACCCATCTCAAAAATAAGATGGAGATCTGTCAAGACAGGTCATGGGGTAAGAGAGTTTGACACCAAGCCTGATAACCTGAGTCTGATTTCTGAGACCCCACATTGTGGAAGGAGAGAACTGACTTCTACAAGTTGTCCTGTGATCAATCTCCACAGCCATGCTCTCTCTCTCTCTCTCTCTCTCTCACTCACACACACACACACACACACACACACACACACACACACACACACACACACGAAACTATAAAGCATATGTAAAGTTCTATACATATAAAGCATCATTTGAGAGATTTCTAGGCATTACTGACTTCACTGATGTCTCTTTGAAGGAAAATGTTTATTTTTCATAAATTTATTGACATAGAGGTCAAATGAAACACAATATTACAGGCAAAATGTTGTGCATATGTACATGTTGTCTGTGTGTGTACCTTGTAGGTGTCAGCAGAGGAAGTCAGATTCCCAGGAGTTGGAGTTACAGGTAATTGTGAACTGCCATACATGGATGCTGAGAACCGAACTTGGGTCTTCGGCAACAATAGTACACACTCTTAACAACTGAGCCATCGCTCTAGCCACTTTTAAATTAGTGGCATGTGGAATCAGAGGACAGATTTTTGAGAGTCCATTCTCTATCGTGGTTTGTGGATTGGACGCAGGCTACTAGCCTCGTGCGGCAAGCCTCTGAGCCATTTCACGGACCCCCAGTAAGGGCTCTGACCCACAGGCCCTCTTGTCCCAGTGAACTCCAGCTGTTGGCTGCCTTCCTCTGATGGCTCTGCCAGGCCGGTCACCCTCCTCTTTGGAACCCGTGAGCAACACTGCGATTCCGCTACTGCATGTGTTCCATTGAGTCACCCCCACGTGTCTCTTGTGAAGAGCATCCTGAACCTGGCCTTCCGCCTGGTCAGGACTCTCCCAGAAGCTGTCTGTCTCGATAAAGATGAGCCAGACACAAACCAGACAAGAATCACAAAGGCTACCTGACCATTTCCTGCTGCAGGTCAGACCCTCGGGCAGGAGTCTTCACATGAAGGCGGGCACCATGCAAACACTGTGTCCATGAAGACAAGGTCTCATGAGGCTAGAGGCCATGCCCTGTCCCAGGCTCCTCAAGACCAGTTAGAAGAGAAGACGCAACAGGTGCACAGCTCCCTTGTCTATCATTTCAAGAGATTCAA